ATTACAGGCACGCGCCACCATGCCCAGCTAATTTTTTGTATTTTTAGTAGAGATGGGCTTTCACCATGTTGACCAAGATGAGCTCGATCTCTTGACCTCGTGATCCACCCGCCTCGGCCTCCCAAAGTGCTGGGATTACAGGCGTGAGCCACCGCGCCCGGCCCAATATTTTAATTTTCAGTGAAGTAGTTCAATCATTTCAAAACAATTTATATTGAAAGACAGTAGTTCCCACCCTCCTCCACAAAACCCCAAAAGAAACCTTTAAAAATCATATGCCTAGTCTACTATTTTATGGTTTATCAATGGTAAACCTTGTATGTTGGTGGTTTATTACAATGGGGGGGTCAGATAATTCACTGTCACACCCCACACCCTACCAATTTTCCCTCTGTTCTCTTTTTTAAATATCAGTCTTTTGAAAATTACCTCCTAAAATGCTTTTCTGACTATTTTTCTGATAATCTCTATGAAATTTTAATAAAACAGATACACTATTGTTTACATGCTGTAAGTATATCTGTTCCTTGTGTATAAGAGGTAAGAGTTCTGGTCAGTTACAGTGGATCACGCTTGTAATCCCAGCAGGCCTCCCTTAGGGAGGCCGAGGCAGGCAGATAGCTGAAGCCCGAGAGTTTGAGACCAGCCTGGGCAACATGGTGAAACTCATCTCTACAAACTCATATCTCTATCCCATCTGCACAAAAACTACAAAAAGTAGCCAGGCGTGGTGGCACGTGCCTGTAGTACCAGCTACTAGGGAGGCTGATGTCAGAGGATCACTTGAGCCTGGGAGCTGAGATTATGCCACTGCACTCAAGCCTGGGCAACAGAGCGAGACCCTGTCTCAAAAAAGTAATAAGTTTTTCTGGCCCCTCCGAGAACTGACTTTCACCCCTTCAGGGGCAGTTACCACCCCCTTGGCAATGATTCTTTAAGTAGAAAAGAATTTGAGGTGGGTGACGTCCGCGAGTGTAGGAATAGCTGACATCTGGAATAAAGCCAGTCTGAAAGAGTGGACAGTCAAGGGACAGAATCATTTTGGCCTTTTTTTGTTTTTGTTTTTTAATCTTGTAGTCTCAAGGAATGAACCAGCCACACGAGTTAACCTTCAGGATATCTGGAGCTAAAGCCATCTCGTCCCAGGGCATACATCTTTGTAAATGTCAGATGCGTTACACACTTTACAGTATTCTTTTTTTCTTTTCTTTTTTTTTTTTTTTTTGTTTTTGAGACAGAGTCTTACTCTGTCGCCCAGGCTGGAGTACAGTGTCACAATCGTGGCTCACTACAATCTCCACCTTCTGGGTTCAAGAGATTCTCCTGCCTCAGCCTCCTGAGTAACTAGGATTACAGGCAGCCACCACCAGGCTCAGCTAATTTTTGTATTTTTAGTAGAGATGGGGTTTCATCATGTTGGCCAGGCTGGTCTCCAACTCCTGACCTCGGGTGATCTACCCACCGTGGCCTCCCAAAGTGCTGGGAGTACAGGCTTGAGCCAACAGTTTTCTTAGTCAAAAGGTACTAAGTACTATAATTTCACTCTTTATAGATGAGTCAGGGTCCTTGTTAGATTACCCTGTACATGTCAACACATCCAACAGCTGCTGAGTTCTGAGGACAAAGTTCTGTGTGATGCGGGAGGTCTGTGTCCTCTGCGCAAGTTCTGCTCACCCTCTGTCACCTTCACCTTGCGCCACTACCTGCTCTGTGGCAGCCGGCGTTCCTGCCTTGAATGGCACCCACGCTCTTCCTGCCCTGTCACAATTTGCTGCTAAGAAACCGGTCTTCTTAGTATGTGTGGTTAAAAAGAGTAAAGTGTTACTGAGAAAATCCCTTCATTCTTCATTCAAAAGACGGAGTGCTGGGGCTTTGAGCTTTGGGCTGGAGAGCAGGGCTTTGTCAATTCCTTCTGGTTTCTGCTCTGAGATCCAGGGCAGGGTCTGCCAAGGCAGGAAGCTCATATTGAAGTGCAGGTGCTGCCTGGCCAGGCCAGAATCGTGAAGCCCCGTGCTCTCTCCCCAGGCTCCGGCTGCAGCCTTCGAATTCCTAGCACAGTGCCCAGAAGCACCCCCAGGAGCGGCCACTGGAGCAGGCACCCTTCAGTGCTCACCCAGGCTTTCCGCAGCTGTTCACACGAGGTCCTTGCGGGCTCCTTGAGCCTGAGCTGTGGAGCTTCTGAGAGGCTGCTTTCAGGGACAGAGAATGGCGATGTCCTCTGTTTGTAAAATGCTCTGCAGCTTACAGGATATTTTTGCTATTTATCTCATTTAATTGCCTTGAAACCCTGTAAAACGGTCTCTTACAGCAGAAATGTGGAAGAATAAATGGCTCAGAATTGCATGCCAATGACTGAACATACGTTGCTTTAAGGTGCTATGTTTGGCCTACATGTTTTAAACCTTTCTACCTGTCACCTTGTTTTCAAACATATTTCATTATAAGAAGCAACAACTCCGAGGCACCCTTCAGCTCAGTCCTTACAATCTAAGCCAGGGGTTTCCTCCTGAGTAACGTGTAGGAAAAGGTGGGCTTCTCTGTGACCAGCCCGAGTGCAGACACTGGAAATCCTGCCCCATCGCCTGGAAGTGAGAGACCTCAGGCCACACGGGCTCTCCGCTGAGCCTGGGAGGTAACCAGGCCCTTCTCCAAGGCTTCGGTGCACTCCCAGCACACTTTGGCCTTTGTAAGAGTTAAAGAGAATTAAACAGAAAACCCAGACGGCTTCAGAATCTATTTTTTCAGAAGCCATTGCTCTGAGCCCAGGGCTCAGCTTCTGGGGCACGGAGCAGCTGGAGTCAGGGCAGGGTCTTGCCGACAGAGCCTTCAGAGCTCCTGGCCACAGTGCGCTCTTGGGCACTGGGCAACCGCAGGGATGCCAGGCACCACGAAGGAAAAGGGCCCCACTGAGCCCTCCACAGGGGGATGCGATGCCCCTTCAAGATTTTAAGGAGATGCAGGATTTCTGACGTTTTGGGTGCTGCATTTCGGCATGCTAAAAAATCCTTCTCGCCATTGTCTTTCACCTTTTTAGTACTTCCCTGTGTTTTTAAAAGCAAGATGTCCCTGGTGTCTCTGCCAGTTCTCAGTGGGCTTAGATATCACTGGCGTGAGTGGGGCTATGTGAGCTGAGGTGGTTCGTCTCTGCCAAAAAAATCACCCTCTTGTCACTCAGAGACTCAGGCTCCAGTTCCTGTGGTCACCACGAGGCTGTGCGTGACCATGAGTGTGTCGGGCTGACGTGGAGCAGGGGCATGGGGGCCTGAGTCAGGGCGGAGGGCGCTCCGCAGATGTGCCAGCTCATAAACACCTCCTGGGGCAAGGACGGGAGGGCCCCAGCAAGGCAACGCGGCGATCTCAGAGTCAAGTGCAGCAGTGACCTTTAGAACTTTCCATGAAATATGACACAGTATTTTGCAACTGGCAGGAGAGCTCTAGCAAGTATGTGCTAACGTGTGTTGCTGCTCCCCAGCCTGGAGGGGACCCGTGCACGCTTACATAATGAGATGCGGTTTGGACCACAGCCTTTCAGGGGACTGGGTGCTTTGCAGGTACTGCTTGTGGTCCACAGAAGTTCAGGATGAGCGAGAAATTTTTGAGTCCCGCATCCTCACCTGCTTCTGTAGCAGTCCAGCCACAGAGAGAGGCAGCCCGGCTCCTGACGACCCCCTGGGGAGGAAGCAGAGCCAGTATCTGCCCCGCAACCCCACAGGTGCCCACGGGATCCTAATCACTGAGCACCTCTGAACTTCTGGGTTTTTACAAAATTGTATTTCTTGAATTGAATAGTCATAGCTGGGCTCCCTACCACACAGCATGGTTGAGAAGGATGTAGGAAACCACTGTGGGCAGTCTCCCGGCTCTGTACAAGTGCAGGGTGTGGGTGACTAGGGCCCCCCCAGCCCTGCTCTGCTGGTGGATTTCTCGGTTGCCCGGGCTGATTCTGTCTGTGCGGTGGCCCCCACCCTCAGCATCCCTGTGCTGGGAAGCACCACTCTCATGAATGAATGGAGGCATGTGGAGGGAGGAGGGTGGTTACACTGAGTCTCAGCAACTTTTCCCTCATCTGGGTCCCCAGTGACAACTTCAGGGAGACTATTTGCAGCTGCGTGTAATATGCAAAGTGACTTCCATGAGAAGGAAAGCTTGGAGTCTCTTGGAAAATTTGATTTTGATATAATTGGAAGTCCGGAGATAGGGTGGGCTTCAAGGGCCTTGACCCTGTGGGTATTCACGGGCTACCTGGAGGAGGAGGCACCTTGGCCTGATGAGGCCCTCGGCTCTCAGAGACCCCTGCTGCCACACAACTGATGCATGGGGTGGGGTGAGGGACAAGTGGAGGCTCGGTGCCAACCATGGTGTCTGTAATGGAGACCCAGAGTCCCATTCGCCAGGTTACAAGGCCGGGGTGGGGCTCCGACCTGCAGCCTGGACTTGTACCAGGTTAGTGGGACAAAAGGGGCCGTATGTCCTAGCACTTCCCTGATGCTGTGGGAACGTGGCCCCCGGGGCACTGGCAGAGAACCTTCAGCAATTAAAGGGTTTACTCGCATGTTTTGTGTCACCAGAGTCTGGGGGTGGGGGCTACATATTAGAGCCATCATGTCTCACATGGAAGGGTGAGCCTTCGCGCCATTTAACCTTACGTGCAGGAAGCAGGGGCGACAGCTCTCAGCCTGCCAGCCCATCTGCAGTTCCCCAACCTCTCCTTCCTCACCTCTCCCTCCTCAGCTCCGCTGTGCAGTGCACGGTCTGGCTGTGGAATGTTGGGTTGTGGGGGGAGTGCGGCACACCTGGTAAAATCCAAGTATTAGCGTGAATGGGACCCAGTCCCGTGGGCTCCTGCAGCCCAGCCCTGGCTGACCAAGGCTGGAACCCAGCCAAGGGCAGAGGAGCAGTCAGCACAGCCCTTCTGGCTCCAGGACAGCCGCCAAAGTGTCCCCCAGGAACAGGACATTCTGCCTCCGGGATGGCCGGGCATGCAGCAGCAGCTGGCTTGCCATTCCCTGACTCACCGTGCTGCTCCTGGGCCACCTGGAGGAACTGGTAAGCACTCCTTTTCTTTCTTCCGTGGGTAAGATCCCTGCCGTCAGGGAGCTTTTGGCCTAACTGGGGAGAAAATTAACCCAAAAGCCAGAAAACGGTGAAGCACACTAACAGTATGAAGCGTCCCGTGGTCCTGTTCTTCCAAATTGTCAAAGGTAGGTTTGCAGTCAAGAAACCTGGAAGAGCAGCCACCAGAAGACACATGCAAAGAGCACGCATAGAATGAGCTGAGCTCTAATGTCACCCCATCCCAGATCTTGCAAATCTGGTGTCAGAGTGGTGACCCGCATAGCACGGGGACATGGCTAAGAGGTGGAAGGCGTCTGCCGCCCAGCTACCTGGTCCCGTGCCAGGCTTGGGTTGCGCCACCAGCCAGGGGTGTGAGTTTTAAACTATGATCCAAAAAGGCCCTGGCCCTTTGAAAATACATTAGAAAACAGTTCCTTCTGGGAGCCATTGGTTCCTTCCTTTTTCAGCCCCTCCCTTTAAAAGAGAATCCTGAGTGTGGAAAGCATTCCGTCAGAACGACCTCTGTGAGCAGTCAGGTGTGGGAGGGAGTTTCCCCTCTGTTCACGCAGGACGGTTGACTGGCGGGAACAGAAGAGGGGAAGGTTTCGCGTCCCCGCTGCCTGTGAGTGGTCATCTTTCCCCTGCCCACCAGTCACGTGTGCTGAAGAATTGGTCCTCAGTCCCCCCCATGCCATGGGAAGGCGCCACCTCTCCCAGTGCCTCAGTGCTCATCTCTAATTGGGGGATCTAAAACTTTGTCCCTCATGTAAGGAATTTCAGGCATCTGTGAGTCAAACAGAAAGACCCCAGCAGAGAGGGAACCAACTGTTAAACTTTCAGGAATTTTTCAAGTCAGTGCACGCCACCTTGCACAATATTTATACCACAGAAATTGGCAGACACGCTGCAGATTGATCTTCCCCTGTCTTCTGTGAGTATCTTCCGGCAAGTCCCTGCTCCCACCTTTCTGAAATCCAGCATTGCCAGCAGCTGCATTCTCTGCTCTTGGCTAAAGTTGGTTCTGGGAAGAGCATTTTGAGTGAGGTCGAGGCACGTGTTGGAGTAGTTGGGGTATCTTGGGGGATTGGTGTTCGCTGTCAAGGTTGTTGTTTTTATTTGTCTAGCTTTTCTTAAACTGCAGTAACCCTGCTCCCCAGCTCCCCCCACGCAAAGCCTTCCAGGATCCATCCTGTTGGACAGAGAACTGTGCTGGGCCAGAAACAACTTTGTGCTGAATCAGGCCGACCCCACCGCCCACTTTCCTCAGGAGCAGAGCAGCAGCTGGAATGAGCCATGATTTCCCTGCTTTGCCTAAGTTGCCACATCCTTTCTTTCCACAAAGCCATCAAATGTGCCTATGGAGCAAGTTCTTAGAGTGTGGTGCCCGGAACTGGGCAGCAGCAATTAGTTTGGCCCTGCTGGGCAGAGGAAGCAATAGTATGTGCCCCACCTCTGTGCCCAGCCACGTGGAGGTGGCCTCCGGGGAGGACGCGGCCAGCTCTGTGCTTCCAGAGCACGGTGTACCCGCGTGTCAGGTCAGCTTGCTGTAGACTCCCGATTCATCTGCTCTGAGTTGCAAGGTGGCTTTAATGCAAATCAGGACTTCTAAACATGCTGCTGTGTTTGCGTTTAAATTTCCCAGCCTGAAATTAAAAATCAGGATGTAGAGAGAAATTCTTTTCCAAATCCCTCTGTCCATGGTGGTCCTCTAAAGTCCTGTGGGATTCAGGCTAGGACGTTGAATGGATGCCGAATTTTCCTGTGCACGTGGATGGGAAGTATGGTACGGTGGAAGGATGTGGATTTTGGAATCGGGTCCAGGTGAAGGATCAAGTCCGTATTCCCTCGACTTGCCAGTGGTGCCATCCTGGGCAGACTGCCTTTCTGACCCTCAGTTATTCATCTTTCAATGAAGTGTTGTTAATTATACCCGCCATGCTCCTGGGTGGGAAGGATGAAATAAAATAATAACTGTAAGGTGACCAGCACCCCAGCTGGCTTGTGATGGGCACTCGGTAAATGGGAGTTACTGTTTTACTCACGGTAAAACAATCTGGTTCCTAGAGGACGGGAATGTCTCTGCATGGTTTGTAGCACCTCATCCCTTCCATCAGCAGCCGGAAGTTTAATAACCACCTGTTGAATGAATGACCCTGCCCACGTTGCTGTTCATTTTCCACACAAATTTAAACATGTTTACTTTTAGTCACTGAACTTTGAAATGTTCTTTCTGTGGTATGATGTAGTGTAAGAATAGTCCCTCGGCTTAAACAAAACCTTTTCCTTTTAACCAAATCTGCCTCCTCCTTATTGGGATACTTGTTCAGGTCTTTTCCTCAAGATGTTTTGCTGTTTTATTTATTAATTATTATTATTATTGAGATAGGGTCTCACTCTGTCGCCCAGGCTGAAGTGCAATGGCACCATCGTGGCCTCAACCTCCCAGGCTCAAGTGATCCTCCCGCCTCATCCTCCCAAAGTGCTGGGATTACAGGTGTGAGCCACCACACCCAGCATTGCTTTATTTTTAAATCGAGAAAACAATTTTTGTTAGAAGCTAATTTTTTTTAAAGAAACCTAAACATGGAACTCCTAAACGTACCTACTTCCAGAATTTAAGCACGGTAAGTTTGGGCTGCCATATTTAACAACAGAGATAATCAGTGTATCGGGGGACCCAGCTGGCAGTAGATTTTGTGGCTTATTTCTGAAGGCTGGGGTCGCCTCCACGCGTTGATTTGGCCTAGCCTGTGTTCTCTCCTCTTCACTGTCTCCAACCCTGAAGGCCCATCTCATGTTCCCCTTCTCCGGGCAAAGCCGCACAGGCCTCCCCCTCCCTCCTTTGTGCTGGAGACACCTGCAGCCGTGGATCGCATACCCTCAGCTTTTTCAGGCAGTTGGTATTATGTCTGTCTGTCACTGAGAGCAAGCCCTATGTGATGTGCTCATTTATGCATCCCTGCTACGGATACCTGATTCCCGCGTCTGTCAGTCAGTCCCAGCAGGATAAGGGAGGCGCACTGAAGTTTTTGGATCATTGGAGGAGAAGTGAATAATGATACTACCTCCAAAGGTGTGGGCAGGCTGCCAGGAACCCTTAGGGCTGGCGCAGTAACCCGGGTTCCTATCGGCAGGGCTGCTGCCACTGCTGTGCTTGAGTGATGAAAGGGGGGGGGTTCCCTGACCCAAGACAGAAGGCCGGGGGAGGGTTTCTGTGAGAGGAGTGGAATTCTTCCCCTGGGTGATGACACAGTGAGGCCAGAGCAACCCTGTAGGGATGTAGGGGGCTCTGAAAGCCTCAGCTCCTCCCTTCCTCTGGCGTCTGCCATGCCCCTGTGCCCACTGTTGGCTACAGCTAACTGGCAGCCTGGGAGGAAGGAGCCTGGCCATGTGGTCCCTCCAGTTGGCTCCATTGGGGAGCAGGGGCAGCTAGAGGGACCACAGGGACTCAGGGCGACTGTCCAGTGCCTCCCAAAGTGGTGCCTTGCTGGAGGCCTGGGGGCTCCTTCACAATGGGTGAGGCCTGGGCCCTTACCCTTTTGGGATTCCCAGTCTTCTGGTAAGGGCTACGTTGGCATATAGACTAGAAGAGCTAAACTCTTTCAAAGGAGGGAAAAGTTCCCTCTTTGGGGAGTGATAAGGGAGAGCTCACTTGGGGGAAGACATGATCTCTGACTTGGGCTGTAAGAGTTTCACGGGGTTTCAGCAGGTAGAGCTGAAAACCATGGGCTTAGGAGCCAGGGCAGATGGTGTAAGCAAAAGCAGGTAGGTTAGAAAATTCCAGCCAGGCTTGGTGGCTCACGCCTGTAATCCCAGCACTTCGGGAGGCCGACACAGTGGATCACTTGAGGCCAGGAGTTCGAGACCAGCCTGGGTAAATGGCAAAACCCTATCTCTACCAAAAAAAATACAAAAATTACCTGGGTGTGGTGGTTTGCACCATAGTCCCAGCAATTTGGGAGGCTGAGGTGGGAGGATTGCTTGAGCCCAGGAGGCAGAGGCTGCAGTGAGCTGAGTAAATGAGCCAAACGTTGTCTCAGAAAAAAAAAAAAAGAGAGAGAGAGAAAAAAAAATTCCAAGTATGGCCAGAGAATGGAAACCAGACCACACTGGCTGAAGCAGAAGGTTCACGTGGGGCAGCCTGCACAGGTGTCTAAAGGTTGGGTCATCAGTGGCTCATGCCTGTAATCCCAGCACTTTGGGAGGCCAAGGTGGGTGGATCACCTGAGGCCAGGAGTTTGAGACCAGCCTGGCCAATGTGGCGAAACCCTATCTCTACTAAAAATGCAAAAATTAGCCAGACGTGGTATCAGATGCTTGTAATCCCAGCTACTCAAGAGGCTGAGGCAGGAGAACTGCTAGAACCTGGGAGACAGAGGCTGCAGTGAGCTGAGATTGCACCATTGCGCTCCAGCCTGGGCAGCAAGAACAAAACTCTGTCGAGAGAAGGAGGGAAAAAGAAAGAAAGAGAAAGAAAAAAAGAAAGGAAGGGAGGGAGGGAAAGGAAGGGAGGGAGGGGAGGAGGAGAAGGAAGGAAGGAGGGAAAGGAGGAAGGTAGGGAGGGAGGGTGGGTCATACTTTATAGGACTTCCTGACCTTACAACATTCAGCACAGCACCAAATAGACAGTTGTTACTCAGAGAGTCAATTTTGTAGACATTGCACCAGAAGAGTTGAGACCATAGTTTCTTGATCTGCTAAGCAATGGTCTGATTATGAGGTCACTTTAGGCAGAGATAGACTGGGTCCCCTAGGCGGGAAGGGCAAACTCACATCTTGGCAGAAGGGATCAGGTCTGATCACATGAGCAGCTGCTCTACCAGTTGATGGGGTCTGAAATGCTAGAACCAGCCCCAGCCACCCTTGAGCCACACTGGAGCCATGCCAGGGCTGAGCAGGTTTCTTCGAAGCTGGTGTGTGTCCCCTGTGGATGGAGGCCCCATGGGAGTGGCAGATCTGGGGTGGGAGCTGAGATTCCAGGGTTTCCTTTCATGGCGGTAGAGTGGAAGACTTCCCTTGGCCTCCCTGCTGCTCCCCTAGCCTAGAGCCATCTTTATCTCATCAGCGATCTGCAGTGACTGGCCAGCAACTCTAGAGGCGCTGAGCTCCGCAAATGAAAGAGGCAGGAGAAAAGGCATGAAAAGCAGCCACACTCGAGCTGGGAGGCTGGACCCATGGCTCCTGAGAAGTCCTGGGCTCCTGTGTCAAGTTGCTGGGATGCTTCCACCCCACACCCCAGCCCCTTGTCTTCAGCTGAACCATAAATAATAACAATTCACTGAAGAAACTGATGGCATTGCAGGTTTTGGAGGTTATCCCACCCTAATGGGCAGCCAGGAGGACCCAGGCTACTCATGTTTAGCTCAGGGGTTATTTAACTGGCCTGACAGTCTCCCCATCATGTGCATAGTCATTTGAGGAGACTGCACACAGATTCAATTACCACAAGGGGTTTAGACTGTTGAAACTAGGCTACATCTCTGTCTGTCTCTCTCTCTTTTTAAAAATAGAGATAGAGATTGTTGGAAACAGATGCTCGGTGCCACAAAGAAAAACCAGCGCTGAGACAGAGGATCTCTCGGCAAGGCAATTCTACTCTCTGCAGAAAGGGTACTCTTGTTAGCCATCTTGCCATGGGAATACAACAAACAAAGGAAAAGCAGACATGTTTATTCCTTACACATCTGGGGTCATCTTTACTGTTGTGTCTGATCTCTATTGGTTGCAGCCAGACCTCACAATCTAAAACTCAACCTGATTGGCTAATAACTTCAAACTTTCTTGAATAGATAGAGGCAATGGAGAACAGAAGGAAAAGAGGAAGTCCAAATAAGGAAGGGACAGGAAGTTGCTTGCGAAAGGACTTAGAAAAGTAACAGCATAAGGATCTTGGTTAAAGTACAAGGACATAGAATGTACTACCTGCCTGTGAGCATGTCTAACAGCTACATAGGATAGGGCTTAACAAAGAGTTCTTGGCAAAAAGCAAGAAGGCTTTGAAGAAAGTCTTTAAAACGAACTATTATTTCTAACACTTATGGTTTATTCTTTAACAAGAAAGGAAACTTTGAAGAGGAACTTTTCTACTTCCCAGGGGTCTCACTGTATTGCCCTGGCTGGTCTTAAACTCCTAGGCTCAAGCCATCCTCCCACCTCAGCCTCCCAAAGTGCTGGGATTATAGGCATGAGCCACCGTGCCCAGCCCTCGACTAAATCCTGAAAAGATCTGGTCTGGTCTTAGCGCACTAAGGGGGAAGCTGAGGTTCAGAAATGGGAAGTAACCTTCTGATGGTCACAAACCTGATTAATAGCAAAGCAGTAACTTTAGTGAGGCTGTCAGCCAAAAAGTCGAGGATTTTTCTCTCTTGTGCTTCCAGAGTTTATTAGTTGCAAAACACATACAGATTACACACATTTTAGGTTTTATTTGGTCAGCGGTTTGGCTTAGTTGTCAAGGAGATTAGAATGCCAGTCCTGGTTCTACCATTGGTGACAGGATCTTGGGCAAGTCCCGTCCCTGTCCTGAGCCTGTTCCCCCATCTGGTCATAGAAGGAAGTCGGACTAGATCTCTCTAAAATCTCCAGCTCTGTCATGCTGCAATTCTCGGCAAGTGCAGAGCTCAGATTATGCATTAGCCGAAGACCTTCCGTTAAATTCCAGTGGGGGAGCTGCATTCCGTCCTTGAAGACGGCGTTGCTGCTTTCATTGAGTAGAACCGTGAGCCAAAGTAGATTCAGCAATTTCCAGCCCAGGCACTTGTGTGGCTTCAGCCAGAGCCTTCTGACCCCGTGGGGCCCTGGAACCCATGAATCAAAATAGTTGTGTGATGTCATGTCACAATGGGAATGTGCTCTGGCCAATTGGTGCCAAGAATTGTCTGCCCAGGGTGGTTTCCTTTTACAGTCTGTTTAAAGAGACATCATGCCCGGCTGCACATGACTTGCAGGCTTGTGCTTCCCTTGCCTATCTGGTCTTCCCTCCTTTTTTTAATTTTAAGAAGAAAAAAAACAACAGCCCTGGAGAGTATCAGTGAGCAGCTGACGGTAACTACATCAACAAATCCCCGGCTAAGTTCTGTTTGCGCTTCCGGCAGCTTCTTGCTACTTAAGGACAGCCCGGCTGACACTCCAGCTGCTGTGGCAGGACGGCTGCACTCCCTGGTGCCTCACAGACGCTGGGGCCGCGGTGAGGTCGCCCCGAAGGCCCCCTGGTGAGGACGCTTGGACCCGGGCTGTCACCCGAGCACAGGCTGCCGCTCTGAGCTTTTGGGGTACCCTGTGCCTACCAGGCTGATGCTCCCCCGGCTCCCTGCCACCTGGGGCTGACACCGGTTCTGCGGGGCCTGATATGTTCACCTGTCACCACTCCTGTGGCCACAGCTACCCATGAAGCGCTTTGGGAGTCTTAGGAGCAACAAGAAACACAAGGACCAAAACCGAAGCACGGAGAGGCGCCAGTCAGAGCCCCATGGCCTTTTCGGTAGGACTCTGCCCTTGCCTGAGTCCCTGGTGATCTGTTGGGAGGGAGCCCCATGGCGTGCATGCACACCCTCCTAAGCAGTAGCTGTTTCCAGCCGCTCCCTTCCACCTGGGGTGTAACGTCAGGCGATGGTTAGAGGAATATGTGGGAAGCTTCTCCTTGCTGATGGCAGTGCAGCTGTGGGAAGCCATCTGGGAATACTCTTTCTGAAGCTGTCTCCTTTCTCTTGCCCCACCTGGCCCAGGGAGGCTAGTGATGGACTGGATCGTCATTTATTTATGCAAAAACTGTGGCTGGTGGGGGTGGGGGAGTGAGAGTGAATTGGAACTGTTATTTTCAGCTGTTAGAAATGCAACATGCATGATTAGAGGAAACTGTTGGAGGTCAGGAAGAAGGAGGTCTTCCCAGGTTCCATAGCGGAGTAATCGGACAGATACCAGCTATTGTGGGAGGAGAAACACCTGCTGAATTTGTGCCCTGTTGGGGAAGCCTGCACTGTGTCTCCCAGGTCTCTGCAACTTCTGCAGCTCCTCATGTGCCGGGGGTTGGGGTCAGGGCAGTTGGAACAGGTGGCATCTGTGGCTCAGTATTCTGAGGGCCTGCAGACTTGGAGTGGGTTTTGCCCTTGTCTGTTTGGAATCAACATGGGTTGATTCCAAAGCCTTCTTAGCTTTGGTTAAGACCTGCCCACTCAAAATTAGATGGTAGATTTTATTTCTTAAGTATCAGAGAGGCCAAGCACGGTGGCTCACACCTGTAATCCCAGCCCTTTGGGAGACAGAGGCAGGCAAATCACCTAAGGTCAGGAGTTTGAGACCAGCCTGGCCAACATGGTTGGTTTAGTAGAAACCCCATCTCTACTAAAAATACAGAAAAGTTAGCTGGACGTGGTGGCACGCACCTGTAATCCTGACTACTCAGGAGGCTGAGGCAGGAGAATTGCTTGAACCCAGGAGGCAGAGGTTACAGTGAGCTGAGGTCGCATCACTGTACTTCAGCCTGGATGACAGAGCAAGACTGTCTCAAAAAAAAAAAATAAAAAAGAATCAGAGTTAGGCTAAACCTATAATCCCAGGTCTGTGGTAGGCCAAGGAGGAAGGATTGTTTGAACCCAGGAGTCTGAGACAAGCCTGGACAACATAAAATTTAGCAACTTTAAAAATTAGCTGAGCATGGTGGCAAATGCCTGTAGTCCCACCTACTCAAGAGGCTGAGGTGGGAGGATCCCTTGACCCCAGGAGGTCGAGGCTACAGTGAGCTGTGATTGGTCCACTGTACTCCAGCCTGGGTGACAAAGCTAGACCCTGTCTAAAAAAACAGTCAGAGTCAGCCAATTCCCGGCGCTACTGCTTACATGGCACAGCTTATTCCTGAAGAGCCCACGGCCAGGTGGAACGGCAGGACCCCCACCCCAGTGCTGGTATTTATCAGCTCCGTTTCACCAGAGCTGGAGAGACACAGCCCGGGGATGTGTAAAGATGAGGAGCCTGGGGGGCCTGAAACCGTGTCCCCTGACTGGAATGCAATGTGTTAAGTGGAAAAATATTGTCATTATGTATAACAGGGAGGTGACTTTGGCAAAGCTTCTGAACTGTAAATGAAAACTGGACTAGCAGACAAAGCAAAAGGTAAATCTGAAATCCGCCTCCGCCAGCACTCCCGGAAGCCCCTGCGGCTCAGATCATGCTGAGTCCTCAGGGAGAGCAGGTGAAAGAGACAGCGGTTCTTGAACCCAGAGAGTGTTCAATCTTGTGAAGAAGAAAGCCACATAAAGAGAACTAGAGAGCAGTGTTTAATCGAGAGACTCCCAGCTACTCAGGAAGCTAAGGTGGGAGGATCGCTTGTAGGTGAAGGTAGGCCAGGTGCAGTGGCTCAAGCCTGCATTCCCAGCACTTTGGGAGGTTGAGGTGGGAGAATTGCTTAAGCCTGGGAGTTCGAGACCAGCCTGGGCAACATCATGAGACCCCTCTCTACAAAAATAAAATAAAAAATGAGCCAGGCATGATGGTGCACACCTGTGGTCCCAGCTACTTGGGAAGCTGAAGTGGGAAGATCCCTTGAGCCTGGGAGGTGGAGGCTGCCGTGAGCCCTAATCACACCACTGCACTCCAACCTGGGAGACAGAGCAGGACCCTCAAAACCAAATGGTGACTGTGCACAGGAGCAGGACACCCAGGACAGGTGTGCACAGGAGCAGGACACCCAGGACGGGTGTGCACAGGAGCAGGACACCCAGGACGGGTGTGCACAAGAGCAGGACACCCAGGACGGGTGTGCACAAGAGCAGGACACCCAGCCCTGAGCAGGAAGAGGAGGGAGGGAATCCTAGACTGGAGGGAATCACTGACTAAAAAGATGACTCTGATTTAAGTAATAAAGTAATAAACACTTATCTACTGTAGAATTAAACCAGAACCTATTATTAACTAAAAATCTGCTTTTGCTAATGGGGATGGACAGGCCCATTATTAAAAGCCTATTATGTGCCAGACAGTGGCTTCTCCCCGTGTGTTTAACGGTTGGCTGTCATCCTGTCTCCTACGCTTCTGAGATCAAAAGTAATGTTTGCATCTCAACCAACTTTTATTTAAGAGCCTAGATGCAGATGCAAGCTCTGGCCACAGGGTCAGGAAAATCGGAGGTCCTTCCAGAGCCTTTCTCTGGGATTTAGGAAGCAGCTGGAGGTCACAGCCCCTGCTCCAGCTGAGGCTCCTCTTAGGCGGCTGGAGCCCAGGGACCTGGGTTGATAGAATGTCTGGCTTTGGTTAGTGTCTCAGTGAGAAGAAACTAGAGCTAGGCTGGGCAGGAGGCGAGAGCCCTCACCCCTGCAGACAGCACTGGGCATGGATACAGTGAGAGAGGATAAACAGTCCGGGAGCGCTGACCGAGCCGTCCCTCCTAAGGGAAGCCTTCCCACCTCTCGGGTGGATCACCTGAGGTCAGGCGTTTGAGACCAGCCTGGCCAACACGGTGAAAACCTGTCTCTACAAAAAATACAAAAATTAGCCAGGCATGTTGGCGGGTGCCTGTAGTCCCAGCTACTCAGGAGGCTGAGGCAGGAGAATTGCTGGAACCCAGGAGGTGGAGGTTGCAGTGAGCCCAGATTGTGCCATTGCACTCCAGCCCAGTGACAACAGTGAGACTCCATCTAAAAAAACAAAAATAACCCACCGAATGCCTCTTCTGTGATCCCCTGGCTGCTCGTGGACAGGGGTGATGTCTCAGGGATCTCATCAATAGCTCCAACCCTCAGCCTTGGAGGACACAGGTTCTACACAAAAACCGCTGGCCCTGTGATGGCTGGACGACATTCCAGCCCACGGCACTCCCTGTTCTCCAGGAAGGATTACTTCAGGGATTTGTGTTTTAAATTCCCTCATACAGCGCCTGGTCCTCATACAGTCTCTCCTGGAGCTAAAAGAATCTCGGGGCGGGGTTTGGTAGCTCACGCCTAGCACTGTGGGAGGCAGAGGCACATGGATTGCTTGAGTCCAGGAGTTTGGGACCAGCCTGGACAATATGGCAAAACCCCATCTCTACAAAAAATACAAAAATTAGCCAGGCGTGGTGATGCATGTCTATAGTTCCAGCTAATTGGGAGGCTGAGGTGGGAGGATTGCTTGAGCCTGGGAGGTCAAGGCTGCAGTGAGCCATGATTGTACCACTGCACTCCAGGCTGGGTGACAGAACTAGACACTGTCTCCAAAAAAAAAAAAAGGCCCGGTGCAGTGGCTTATGCCTATGCCTGTAATCCCAACACTTTGGGAGGCTGAGGCAGGTGGAGGAGCACTTGAACCGAGAAGTTTGAGACCAACTTGGGCAACATGGCAAAAACCCTTCTCTACAAAAAAGAGTCAGGTATGGTGCTGTATACCTGTAGTCCCAGCCCTGGGGAGGCTAAGGTGGGAGGATCACGTGAGCCCACAAGGCAGAGGTTGAAGTGAGCCAAGATGGCACTACGGCACTCCAGACTGGGAGACAGCAAGACCCAGTCTCAAACAAACAAACAAATCTTAGCTGAGGCCTCTTCTCCCTGAGAAAGCTTTTGTGAGGGTCATGAAATGCCTGTCCTTGACTTCTCCCGCCCCTCCATGTGAAACCCACCTAGGCAATCAGACAGGTCCCTCCCATACATCTGCTTTCCTCTGTGGTTGAGTCAGTCTTCCAGGAACCACGCTGTCCTCTGCTCCTTGTTTCATCTGGGGGCTTCCCTGCAGCTCCCCGGGTCAAGACTTACCCGCATACACACGTCATGTACCTGTACACACACACACAGCTCTTCTCACAGGCATCAAAAGCAAGGCCCCGCAGCGCCAGAGTCACCAGGTCCATTTGTCACCACTGTGGATGGCATTTCCACTGGAAAGCCTGTGGCTCTAGCTGGAAACGTTCACTCGCCAGCCTTGTGACCTCGCCCCCTGGAAGCTCTGACTCAAGGAGTGCCTGGTCCCAACCCCTCTCTGGCTGCAGAGCCAGCAGGGAGGCTGCGTCTGGCACAGAAGGGAAGCTCCCCGCTCCAGCTTTCAGGCTCCAGGCTCTAAACAAGTGACCAGCTTGGCTAAGCCTTTCTTTTGGCCTCTTTGGCAAAGAGAAATCCAGATTATGTCAACAGAGGGTATGTGGCAACAATCATAAAGTTGTAGAAGGAAGATTAGGAGAGGATTATGCTAATCAGATCAAAGAGCATTGACTGTAGCAGCGTTTTCACCCTCTGCAATTATAGGGCAGTAATTAAATAAAAGCCATTCAGAGTCTTAAGGGATTCTTTCTGGGGGCCCACACTGGAGCCAGGAGTCTGAGGGGTGTGTCAGGAAGCTGGTGTTTCTTCCTTGTGTGGCCAGGGTCCCAGGAAGGCTGGAGACCGCATCTCGGAGGACACTTGGCTCTTAGATCCACCTCCCCTTCTGAGAGCCCACACAGTATGACGATGCAGCGGCTTCTCACCAGAGCGCTGGCATCCTTCTGGGCCCAGGCTCTTTCAGGGCACCCCAATGCTGCATGCCATGGCTCTCCCGCCCTTGGCTGAGGATGACCCTGCAGGGAGCATCTCGTGCCCTTCGCCTCAGCAGAGGACAGGGCTGAGCAGTCCAGCCTGTGGTCCCTCCCGCCCCCTCCAGCACCCCAGCTCCTCCTCCTGGTCCTCACATGCCTCTGGCACCCATCTGCTGGCCCGGCTACTGGTTTCTCGATGGTTTTGCCTTGAAATACCCCAATATATATGTTTGCCTTTTACTGATAGAAATTTTTTTATTTTACTTTTTAAATTTATTTTATTAAAAAAAAAGACAGGGTTTCCCCATGTTGCCCAGGCTGGTCTTGAACTCCCAGGCTCAGGAAATCCTCCACCTTGGCCTCCCAAGGTGTGGGGTGACAGGAGTGAGACTCACCTGGCCAGGAATTTTCAAATGAATACAGAAGTAGGGAGAACAGTATAATAACATCCAACAGCATCCGTCTTTCAGGGTTAACAGTGGCCAAGGTTCTGCCAGTCTCACACGTGTCCTCAGGGTCTTTGCGCCGGCTGCCCAGTGAACCGACCCCACATCCTGCCTCCACGGTGCCACTACCACCCGACCTGGTGATGAAATCACGCTGGCCCATTGAAACAAGCTAGGCTTGAAAGGACAAACACTGCGTGACTGTATTTCTATGAGGTCCCTAGAGTTACCACATTTGTAGAAAGTGGAATGGTGCTTGCCAGGGGCTGGGGTCAGGGGATTGGGGAGTGAGGCGAGAGCCGCTAGCGTCTGCTGCAGTGACTGAAGGGACAAGAAGGCAGGGTGTGCAGGATTAGAAGTGGCGAGTTTGGATCATATTGGCAGGCTCTGGGCGCGGGGACCGTCTGGAGTTCTGTGGTCCCGGGCCCTGGGCTGATGGGCAGGGAACATGGCCTCCTGGTGTAAGAGCTAAAGAGGCCTGTGGCAGCGCGGCTCTGGGTTGGTTGGTTTGTACATGACAGGTGGGCTCCCAGTGGGCCCCGGGCCATCTCTAAGAACTGGCCGACCCTGGGAGCACCCATCGCTCCCCGGTCAGCAGGGCCCCAAGATGCCAGAGTGCCAAGAAGGCAGAACATAAGAAAACCGAGTCCTTGCAAGGCGGCGCTCCTGCGTTCTCCGTCGGCTGGCTGGGGAGTCCCCCTTCCTCTGAGCCAAGCCCAGTGAGTCACCAGGCCGGTCCCACCTCCCAGCAGGGAGGACCTAGGAAGAGGGGCTAGCGTCCCTCAGCCCAGATGTTCTGGGGTCTCCTCTAGGCCTCACACCGCAGCAACTCAGCCTTCTCCTCGGGGATGTGTTTCTCAGCCAAGATGAGACCAGTTCCCTTTCCTTAAAGGACACTGTCTGTGCGGCCTGGGGGGCCTCTGATGCCTGAAACTGAGCTAAAGGGCCGGCTGCTCCCAGGGGCTGCCTCTGATCATCCCCGACCCAGCTTCAGGCTGTGGGAAACGCCAGCATGAGTGACAGCAGCAGACTCGTGGGCGCCTCCATCCCATTTGCTGTGAATGCTGCTTCATGGAAGACTGAGTCCGTTCTGAGAGCGACTGGAAGATGGGTCAGGGATCGGGGCAGGGATGGGCATGCCCTGAAAACACCCGGCTGCTGTGGGAACAAAAATAACCCAGTGTTGCCTGGAGTCTGGGACGCGCCTAATGGTGGCCTTCTCTCTGGATGAGAGTGACAGGAAGGTGTGGCCAGGCAGAACACAGGGCCCACTGAGGATGGGGCACCGCCCTGCGAGCCTGGCAAGGTGCAGAAGAGACACTGTGACGCCGAGGCTCCTTCCACAGGCTCTCAGTTTACCACCTGATGCCGGCGTGGTGTTGAGCCCCTCAGCCTTCCCTGGAGGGTCAGTTCTGTCCTTTTTTCCTGGGTTCTCCTGGTTCCACACCATATTCCTAGCGCCTAAATCCATACCCAGGGCAGGTGCTCCATAGAGCAAGTCTTGCTTCCCCTCTGTCCATGAACAGGAATAGAGGGTGCGCCGGGGACACACAAGCCCCAGGGCCAGTCGGGGTCTGGCCAAGAGCAGGCCCTGAGGAGCTCAGGACAGAGCAGTGGGAACACAGCCCTGGAGGCATTCCTGCAGCAGGGACGGCCTGGCAGGTGGGAGCCACTTAAAGGAGTTGCCCAGAGAGCGCAGGTATGTCCTTGGCTGGTCTCTGTCCAGTCACATCCCTCCCCCAGTGTGGCCCCACTCTTGACTCTCCTGTGGAAATGAGGCTGGGCTTGGAAGTGTGGGCTCAGCCTGACTGGTAGGGGCTGGTGAAGGGCAGCAAATGGAGGGCGAAGTGGATATTCTCAGTGACATCGGATCTGCAGCTGCCCTTCCTGGGTTCCTTGGCCCAGCGCGGTCCCCTCCACCTCTGCATTGCTTGGGTGCTGAGTGCTGGGGCTGGGATTCCAGCGACCACCCAGGCATCTGCGGGAGGCTCAGGAGAGCCACTGCTCGGGTCACGTGGCTGAGAGGGTCCCTTCCAGCTCCGCCACTGGCTTAAGAAGTCACGAAGTAGGACAGGACCACGTGTGCTTTCCCCTGGCTTGAAGGCCGTTCCTGCTGCCCTCCTTCTCCGAGTTCACCACCCCTCCTGACGTCTCCACTTTCCCGGCTCTCCAGTGCCTGCCACCATCCCAGCCACTTTTGCAGTAAAACTGTATCTTGTGTCAGATCAGTCTAGCAGGGGCACCTCATTAAACTCCTCCGGTGTGGAGACTGTCTTGTTCTTCCCTCCACCTGTGCCAGATTGCTGGTTTTCGTCCCCATTCATGTTCCCCGTCTTCTTCAATGGCAAGGCCCCAGGTTTCATTGTGTGTTGTGTGGCAGTGCATGTGGCCCAGTTGCCACAGGACTGAGTATTCAGTGAACTGTTGAGACTTACAGGAAAGCCTCTTAAAAGAGGGGAAAGGTGAGTCCCCTTTGTCACTTTTTCTCCCCTTGTCTTGGATGTAGATGTGGTGGTTGGAGCTCCAGCAGCCACCTTGGACCTTAAAGTGACTGCTGAGAAGAGAAGGCACGTGCTGAGGTGTCTGGGTTACCACTGTGAAGTTTCCACCGTGGTCCTGGACTTCCTACCTATCAAGCATCTTTTATGTAAAAGATAAAGAAATATCTTTCTTCTTTAAGCTGTTTTAATTTTGGATTCTTCTGTTAAATGCAGGCAAAGTTAATGCTAACTGATATATCCTAGTACAGAACTTGGTCCATACTAGGCACTTGATAATTACTTGATGACTGAACGGGCGAGGTGGGGTGAAGTGGGCTTGAGGGGTGTTGAGTCCATCCCCATGTGTAATGATGAGGTGTGGGATGAGGGCTGCCAGGACTGAGATGAGGCTGGTCGCCAGTGTCACCCTAGGGACTTTGTCCCCTTCCATGTGACCTAGAGCTGTGTTCACTGTACTGTAAGCAGACTCACTTTCAGAAAACTCTGATATTCCAAATTTGGACTAAAATAAAATTAGGCTTGTTGATGCCTTCGTGTATCTATTAGTCTGTTCTTACACTGCTATAAAGAAATACCTGAGACTGGGTAATTTATAAAGGAAAGAGCTTTAATTGATTCACAGTTCTGCAGGGCTGGAAGACCTCAGGAAACTTACAGTCATGGTGGAAGGGGAAGAGGCACGTCTTACATGGTGGCTGGTGAGAGAGAACATGTGTGTAGGAGGAACCATCAAGCACTTATAAAACCATCAGATCTCGTGAGAACTCACTATGAGAACAGCATGGGAGAAATCACCCCCACGATCCAGTCACCTCCCACCAGGTCCCACCCTCAACACATGGGGATTATGGGGTTTACAATTCAAGATGAGATTTGGGTGGGAACACAGAGCCAAACCATATCAGCTTACAAATAGATCATTTTCTTGAAATTGCCATATCCCTCTTTGTGGACTTTTAAATGACTTAGTTTGATAAGAGTTCACCCCTGGAGAGATGGGTATGCTGTTTCAGCTGCAGGTACATGATGAACTTCAGACTGGGATTTTGGGCACCTATGTCTAGCTTGGAAGTAGGCTGTGAAGGACGGGTTCCTTAGCAATCTGGTGACTCCTGTTGGATGCCGTATCTGACTGCATGCATGGTGTACTCAGTCCAATACACGACGTATTCATTATACTTCTATGTCAGGCTGGCCCTGAAAATGGGGTGAAGACCTACAGGACATGGCTCACAGCAGCTTGCAGTTTAGTTGGGGGGTAAAGAACACCTGGCTAAAGAGAAGGCCCCAGCAATAGCTGTTGATATGACATGCTCTGGGGCTCGGTGAGATTGGGATGACATCTCTGCTGGGCCCCGTGGGTAAGGCTGGGTGGGTAGACACCTGAGAGGGGAGCAGTCAAAGAAAAGTCCAGAAAGAGTAGAGAAGGCCAGGCTCTAGACACCCTTGATTGCCAGACTGGAGAAGGGGTCTGGGCAGGGACGGAGTGTCATGAGACTGTGATGTGGGAGAGCTACAGGCTTTGCCACATGTGGGCTGAGGGCAGCCTGTCCTATGAGCAGATGTCTTCCAGGGATTCTGTGGCACTCTTCCTCCACTGCCCCTGAGAGAGGGACTCATGGAGGTGGCCCTCCCTATACCTCCTGCCGTTTGGCGATGGCAGCCCCATCCCCATGAGCTGGTGTGACTCCAGCCCAGGCCACATGTGAGGTGCTGCCTCTTCTGCCTTGAGAGACAGAGGTGAGGGGCAAGACGCTGTGCAGCAGCCAGGCCAGGACCGGGGGCTACAGGGACTCTGTCATTTAGGGATGCAGAGGAAGACCATTTGGGAAAGGGAGGCTGAGGCCAGAATGTGGCATATAGCTGGGGCCGTGAGTGCTGGCCTAGGTGGGATGTCACCGTCAGCCACTGATGATGCGGCCATATGTCATGGCTTCTACGTCTTTACCTTTGAGAACTCTGTTAAGGCAGGTAAAGTAGGTAGTAGAGGTGGTGCTCCCATCTTACAGATGGGGAAACTGAGGCCCAGAAAGACCAAGAGATGTGTCAGTGACACCTGGCAGCAGCAGATGGGCAGAAGAGGAGGAGCCCCTCAGCCCACCTCCCAGCGGTGGTGCCCACGGGTGATGCTCACTCTTCCCCATGGGGTTCCCTGTGAATGAGGACCCATGAGGTGGCCCCTCTCCCGCAGCAGCATAAAAACATCCCCACTTCTACCACGCTCCTCACCCACATTCTGGTTGCTGCCCTGGGCCAGCCTGCATCTCCCAGGGGATACAGGGCCTTAAGGCCCCTCTGCCCTCCCTGCTTCTCACTCCTGGGTGGCCTGGCGTGGTCAGCCCTGGTTTTGATCACAGAATAGCTAAGGCTGATGGAAAGGGAGTGGCTGCAGTCAGGTGTGACCTCTGAGCAGCTGTGGCCAGTGACCCCGAGGAGGGATGTGCAGTTGGCAGCACAGAAAGAGGAGCAAACTCTTGTGTCTCCCATGGGCACCCATGGGCCAGGCATCCCCAAGGTGTGCCAGCCTGGAGAGTGGTCAGCTGCAGCTTCTGAGCTCTTCCAGAGTCCCTGCCCGGGGAACCCCAGCTCTGGTCTCCTGCTGCCTCAGCCTGCCTTCCTCCACTGAAGGACTCCCGTGGCTGTTGGTGGCTTGCCTGGGGTCCTCCCCATCCCAATGGTTGGGTGCTTCTGCCCCTGCACTCATTACAGCCTGGAGTGGCGGGGAGTCCTGCCTCCTCCTGGAGGTCCCAGTCCCCACAGGCAGGTCTGCCTTAAAACCCAACAGCACCAAATGCCTTTGGCCATCACCTTTCCTTTTTATTTTTTGAGATGGAGTTTTATTCTTGTTGCCCAGGCTGGAATGCAATGAGGGCACACTGCAACATCCACCTCCTGGGTTCAAGCGATTCTCCTACCTCAGCTTCCCAAATAGCTGGGATTACAGGCACATGCCACCATGCCCAGCAAATTTTGTATTTTTAGTAGAGATGGCATTTCACCATGTTGTTCAGGCTGGTCTTGAACTCCTGACCTCAGGTGATCCACCCGCCTTGGCCTCCCAAAGTGCTGGAATTACAGGCCACAGCGCCCAGCCAGTGATACTTGACTAACAGTGCCATGCTAAGTTCTAAAAATGTTTAGGGCAAAGTTTGCTAAAGTATAAACATGCAGAGAAGAGCACAGATCATAGATGATGAATTTGCGCAAACTGAACACACTCGTGTTGCCAGCACCCCGGAAGCTCCCCACACTGTCTCCCAGCTACTTTCCCTCAAGATTGGCATTGGCTGGTTTTGAATTTTATTTATCTGGCTTGTTTCACTTGCTCATTGTGAGGCGCAGCTATGTCTGTGTGCAGCACTCAAGCTCATCAGCTCCATTCGCTGCAGAAACCTCCACTGTCGGTACCGACCCTGACCCCTGCATCCATCCAGTTGATGGGCATCATGGTTTCCAGGGGGCTCTGACGCGGTGCTGTCATGCGCACATTTGTGCACTGGTGTGCCTTTCTGTTTGACTCCTACTAAGATCGCGGGTAGGGTACACACGCATGCACCCATAGTAAATAATGTGGCATCAGCTGTGTGTGTCCTGCCTCCCTGGTGATTCTGTAAGAAGTGTGGTGTCTTCACTTCCCCAGGCTCTCTGACCTGGTGCCCCGCACGCCAGCCCTCTTCTGCCACCATCCGTCTCTGCACACATGCAGTTGAGGCTCAGCATGCATCCCTGCTGAAGCCCTCGGCCCTCTGATGGGCAGTGCCCAGTGCCCCATATCCTTAGCTGCTTCCACACCAGCAGGGCTCAGTCGCTGCCTGTGAAGGACTCACCATGCAGACAGCAGGTGGCCCCCAGTGGAGAGGGAGCTCAGTCTCTAAGGCCACAAGCTTCCTTGGCCTCAGCCTTGGGATTTATTCATGACTGGGAACTGTAGCAGGACCTGGTTTGTAACCACCAGCTGTCGCTATAGCAACTCCTTCAACCAGCCTCTGCACTAAAAATAAATCACCTTCATCCCTAGGATAGAAAAATCAAAGAAAATCAAAGTAGGGGAGGGGGGGTGCCCACCCTGCTCAGCCGCCAGGATTTCCAGGTACACGGACGTAACCCCTTCCGGCCACCACCTCCCGCCAGTGGCAGGAAGGGCACAGGCGGGGTGCAGGAAGGGCACAGGCGGGGTGCGGGAAGGGCACAGGTGGGGTGCAGGAAGGGCACAGGTGGGGTACAGACCAGGCCCTGAGAGCTCTGGGTGCCCGAGCACTGAGGGCTTCCCCACACTTCAAGACTTATCTGTCTTCTCCTGTCTAATATGAACCATAGAATTTAATACAAATTATAAATAGTTGTATTCTTGCCTAGGTTTCATTCATTTTCTAGATATTAGCTTTTCTATGGAATGGTCAATTGCCACCACACCCAGTCTGCTTTTTGTTTTTGTTTTTACTGTGTTGAATATCCATAGCACAAAATTTACCATCATACCCATCTCTAAGTACACAGCTCAGCGGCGTTAAGTCCACTGCCATGGCTGTGTGGCCGTCTGTCCGTTTCCAGAACTCTCTTCATCCTGCAGCACGTAAATGCTGCCCCATCACCCCTAACTCCCCATGCTCCTCCCCAGTCCCTGGAGGCCATGCTTCTGCTTCCTGTGTCTATGAATTTGGTGACTCCAGGGACCTCATGTCAGCAGAATTGAACAGCATTTGTCTGTTTGTGTCTGGCCTGTTTCCCTCAAGCATCGTGCTGCATGGATGTCCTTCATGTGTGTTGTGACAGGTGGCAGAATCTCCCTCCTTTTTTAAGGCTAATACTCTGCTGTGCATGGGGACCACATTTTCTTCATCTGTCGATGGGCACGTGGATTGCTTCCCGCCCACTGTTGGTATCATCACACACCGTAGGGAGATCTCCTCTCTCCGGGGAGATCGCAGGCCCTTTGAGGCAGGGTGGACCTCGCTCCTGCCGGCCTGTGGAGGGGCGGGAGTACTCCCATCAGGCGCAGTGAGGGGCGTCGATGCGCCCATGGGCCAGGGTTGGGAGGCATCCCCTGGATCACAGCCATGGTGGCAGCCCCCTTGGGCACTGAGGAGGAGCTGGGATGCAGTGAGCAGCCCTGCCGCATCCCAGGTCCCCATGGGCAGAGTTTCTAAAGGTAGAAGTCCAGGCTCAGGGGTGCTTTCTGGTCCCAGTGCCACCCTCTGTTCTACTGTCGTTCAGCACTCGGGGCCAAACAGGACGGAGCCCGGCGCGGAGATGGCATGTGGGGTGGGCAGGCAGCCGCTCTGGCTAGGGAGTATAAAGCTCCGGAATCCAGCACAGCCTGGACAGGGGCCGAGAGCACAGGGTCCTTTGAAAAGAGGGAAGCAAGGGTGCTCAAGAAGCCGGGGGAGGCCCTGGAGGGAGGCCCTAGGAGGGAGGCCCTAGGAGGGAGGCCCTGGGAGGGAGGCCCTGCGAGGGAGGCCACGGCACCTGGAGACAAGCGAGCCGGCAGCAGCTCCACCCTCCAAGCGCCCGTGCAGGTGTGCCCTTCCCAGGGTTCCGAGCAGCATGGCCCCTGGGAGCCTCCCTGCCTTGGGAAGTCACCAGTCACCCCCTTCCTCAGGAGGGGAGAATGGGAGCAGGTGCAACATCTGGGGGACAGTGGTGCAGACAGACTCACCATGGAGATGCCCATCCCTGGCCTTGGTGAGAGGATTACAAAGGGGCTGGGGGCTGGAAGGGCCCTGCAGTCTGTCTGGCTGTGTCTGTGACAGGGCCTTGTGTGCAAAGTGACCCCCAAATGCAGAAAGAGGCCAGAAACCAAAGAACTGGGCAGACAAATCCAGTATGTTGTTGTAGGGTGATTTTATCGGGGAACTTATGGGCAGAAGTGTGGTCTTGGGCAACCACAAGACAGGTAGGTCCCCCCCAGCACCCCCATCACAGGGCTTCTGTGCCACAGGGCAAGGGTATGGGGCTTCAGAGGAAAGGTGTAGGTGTACACCTAGGGCAGGCGCTACCTCGGAGTTGATCAAGGTTGATTTGCCCTAAGCAGGGGTGGCAAGTACACAGGAACAGTAGATTAGCTGGAACCGGGTTGATCAGAAGCCAAGGTGGAGGATTCCCTGCCAAGACGGAGCTGCTTCAGACTCCACAGGTTGGTTGGCTGAAACATGGACCCAGGGGTGTCCCATGCTGAATGGGGCTGAAACACCAGAACCGCCTGGGTCTGCTGCAGAGGGAGGCACCACAGTGCAGGGAGACTGGAGAGAATTAGCCATTTAAGACCGACTCACCACCTCTCACACACCTTTCACCAAGACTGTGGTGAGGGAGCCCAGTGCCCTTGAAGAGCTCCGTGCAGGTTGGAAATCACAGGGGGCTGCTGCCACTGACCGGGGACCCTAAATGGATTGGGAGTGTCTGGTCCCAGGGTGGAAGGGGCTAAGTAGAAACAGTCACCAAAGGCAAGGCAGGTGCAGCCTGTCAGCGGAAGCAGAGACCAGGCAGCCACCAGGACAGCCCGACTCAAGGAGACCTGGGGCACGGGCAGGTGCACCACCATGTTCTTAGAAGTGAAATAGATAATAAACCTATGACATTCTAACTTGATCTGTATAAGCAGAAGAGTAGCCGAGTGAACACAAGTCTAGCCTGAATGAGTCGTGGTCCTTCAATCAGTTCTTAGGCTTGAGCCAGTTTCCAGACCCAGAACCCGGTGAGTGAAAGGGAGGCTAGGTCCCCTTGAAGAAGGACCCTACTACACCACCAAAAGTTCATACTGTTAACTTCTCTCCCATTCTCCCCCAAAGGGACGTATGGCTTTTACCAGGGCGACTGGGCATTAGGGAAGGGGTATTGGAGATGCCAGAACACCGATTCTACACTGGCACTTGGCCCAGGAGATGCACAGCGTCACCGTGGTCCACCCATCAGAGCGGGGGCTGTGGACACAGAAAGAGACGGTGATCAGCACAGAATTTCTCCAGCTCTCCCTCAGTGGAGGGGAGGAGTGGGCAGGCTGCGGGGGTTGCCTTTCCTTTTTGCAGCCTTCTGTTTTCCACTTTTTGGGAGGCAGAGACCTAAGAAAAGAGCAGCCAAGGATGTGTCTGTGGGGCTGAGGTGCTCAGAAGCGGGGAACAGCTCGGGGATTAAAAGGGCTCTGGGGCAGGGAGGAATGTCCTTTCATTGGGACCCGCTGGGCCTGGGCCTATCTAATCAGTTTCACTGTGTGTCAGTAGTACATCCATAATAAGAAGTGCCTGTGACAGCCCGGGACTGGGAATGGGTGTTGAGCTGTTGGCTGACTGCGGGGAGGTGGCGGTGTGCTCTCTCGGCTTCCCTTGCACACGAACCAAACACGGGGCTGCGTCTCCACATGTCCCCATGGAGTCTCATGGCATTTCTGGGGAATAGACAGGATTCTATCCCCACCACTCACCTGCTGAAGTCTAGCATTCCTTTATCAAAGCCAAGCCCTTTCCTCCATGAGAGATACCCCAGGGGAGGGAGCTGGGCTAACTGATGAGAGTACTTTCACTGGAAGAATTTTGGTGCCAAGAAGAGAGGAAAGGATGCCAATGGCAAGACATCCTTGGCTGAAAGATGGCTTCTCTGACCCATCCGAATGTTTGTAAATTTATGTGCCCTTTTCCTGAGGCGAGGTTGGCAGGCACCGCCACGTCAAGCAGGTAACAGACTAACGCTCCCCTGAACATAGCTCGTCAGGAGGACGGGTGCTGGGAAAACCAGACTGCAATGGACTGAAACCCTTTATGAGACAGCAGAGTCATGGTCACGTCTGAGTCTACACCTGTGTTGTAAAGAGTATCTCTGGGGACAAGTGAGAGAGCCAACTAATGAGAAATACGGGGACGGGCTCGCTGTGCTGTGGGCACTAGGCCTCCCATAGGAGCTGCGCCGGGGGGTTCTACAGCATCCATCATATTCACGTGCAGGAAACAATGGCCAGCTCACCCACAAGAAGGAATGCCACAGCCACGCTTGAGGAATTCTGCAAGGTGATTGCATGGGAAGGAGTATCAGGGAGGGCTTCATGGAGGAGAAGGCCTTGAACTGGGCCTTGAGGGAGTAGCAGGGTTGGGATAGGCAGGTGAGGGGAAAGAATCTAGGACAAGGAGTATGTGTAGTGTCTGTACAGTCTCATGGGAACTAAGGAACATGGGTTGGAGAGGAATGGTAAGGCCAGACAACATCTATGAAAGCAAACATGATAAACATGGTTGACACGCTTGATGGGACATTGGCCTGACACTGTGAATGCCTGAGGCCGAAACATCTGCCTGCCCCAGACAAACTAAATCTTGACTCGGATTTTAGAGGAACCTGCCCTGCTGTTCCCTGGCCAACAGGGTCGAACGTCTTCGACTGTCCCAGAGGGTCCTAGCGCATGTCCCCTGCTGTCACAGGGGCAGACCTGGGGGGGATCATGAGGTGTCCATGGGGCAGAGGGGTGGCACGCCTCCTGCGGGAGGTGGCTGGTGATTCTGGGTTCTGCATGAGGGGCCTTGGAGGGAGGAAGTGCTCTGGGAGCCAGGCCCTCAGGCACCTGAGCTGGGCCCCTCAGTGCTGTGCTGGCCTCAGCCCTGGCCCCGGCCCTGTCTTCATCCCTTGCCTGCTGGCATTGAAGCTCCAGTCGTAGATGGAAGGCAGCTCCAGAATGCCGGAGGAGACAGCAGAGCAAGTAGGAAGGGGCAGCTTTGAGATGCAGAGAGGGGAGAGGGCCCCTGCTTCAGAATGCTGGGTGGGTGGCCGCAGGGCTGGGACTACCCCAGAAAAGCCTGAGTGTGGGGTGGCTGCAGGGTTCTGGCTCCTGTGCCCAGGTAGGTGGCCGCGCCGCCCCATCCAGCCCTCGGACATCCTGTATCCTTCTGTCCCCTCTGCCCCCTCGGTCCCCTCCATCTCTCTTCATTCCCTCCAACCCTCTCTGTCCTTCATTCTCTTCCATTCCCTCCATCCCCTCTGCCCGCTCCATCTCCTGTTCCCTCCACCCTTATTGTCCCCCTCCATCTCCCACCAATCCCCTACCACCCTCTGTCCCCATCCGTCCCCTCTGGTCCCTCCTTCCCCTTCTGTCCCCTCTATCCCCTCCAAACCCTCCACTGTGCTCTGTCATCTCAATCCCCTGTCCCCCTCCATCCTCTTCAAACCCTCTGCCCCCTTCATCCCCCTCTATTCCCTCCATTCTCTGTCCTCCTTCATCCTCTTCTGACCCCTCTGCCATCTCTGCTCATCCGGACAGGCTCTGGAGTCCTGCATGCTTTTTCTAGAGCTTGAAAGCGCTTTGTTTTCAAAACAGCGGCTGCCAGTGCTTGACTTCAGGGTGTCAAGGTCTGTTCTGAGTTATCTATTTTAAGAAAATTGTTTTCCACAAATAGCAGTAAGAACGAAGTCTGTGTCACACCCAGAGAGATTTAATTGCCTATAGACGGACCTCCTGAGCTAGCAGCCTCCAGCCCTCCTGGAAAGGGCCATGGTCTAGCCGTGCGAGGTGGACTCTCCTGTCTAGGGTGTTTTGGGGCTGGAAGGAACAGAAACTCAAACACGAACTGGTTAAACAACAAATCTTCTCCCAGAGCAGCAAACCCACGTTCTTTCTCTGTGTGTCCGTCTGGGCATCCACTGCCTTTCCTCACGGTCACGAGCAGCTGTCTACAGCCACTGGAGCAGTTTGAGGGTTTATGAGCTCAGAGGAGGGAAAGAAGAAAGGACACTTCCCCCCACCATGGAATGCGAGTCCTTCCCTGATTCTGAGTGGACCATCTCGGAAGCGCTCGCCCCGGGCCCAGTGCTAATGGCCAGGGCTGTTCTCACCCCGACCTTTTGGAAGAAGCACATCCCCTGGGGGCCCTGGGGGTGCTCGAAGACCCAGAGGAGCCCAGGGCTGGCCAGAGCTGTCCCTGGGCTGGGACAGAGCAAGTACAGCCAGTCGGGAGAGTTCCATGGGAAGGTGTAGACTGAGTGTGGGGCCCCAGTGAAATACCGGGACCACCTCAGCAGACATGGGGGCCAGGGAAGGTGTTACGTGGAGCCCCGCTTACAGGCTGCCTGTAAACTCAGGGGGCGGGGCAGGCTTCAGTTTCTTGTTGGGATCAGATCAGGGCGCTAGGCCCACATAGGCTCCTGGAAGCCAATGGGAATGACAGTGCCCATCGCAAGACAGTGGTGCTGTGGGTGGGACCCAGGTAGGCAGCAGAGCCTCGATGTGCTGAGTGTAGGTCCCTTGAGCGGCAGGTCCCAGGACGGGACTCAACACACACCAGACTCATTGGGTGAGCAGCCTGGGAAGGAGGAGGGAAGGAGGCAGAAGACAGGGGGCATCCTCTCTCTGACCCCTGCGGCCATGGTGGCTAGGAAGATCAGGCGGTGAGAGTCTCAGGGTGGCCCAGCACCTGGCACTTAGGCATTGGCTGGGAGCAGCCCTGGGCGAAGGCTAGAGGTACTGGGGGTTTGGGGTGTGTTGGGCGCATGGTCTCTGTGTGAAGAGGGAAGTGAAAGTTGTAGCCCAGCTCCCCCAGCAGGAGGCCTGATTGGTGGGTTTCTGTGACCACCTCCTTTATAAAGTCCCACTTGCCCGAAAACTTGTATAAGTTGGGCCAGGGCTGAGTGTGCTGGGGCCGGGAATCACGTTGCAGAGGCCAGGAGGCAGGACCCCTCTCCCCTCTGCCATGGGGCTTTCTGTCTGGACCTCCACTGCTGAGCTGATTGCAAAATACGTCTCATCTCCCAGAGCAACGCTCAGGAACAGGGTGGCACGTGTCTCCTTCAGTCCCATCCGTTTCCCTGATTTGGGACCTTGTGCTTATCAGGGGCTTGATGAATGTTTGTGGATGGGTTGGGAAGCTGAGCACGCAGAGAACAGGAATATCCACGTCTGGGAAACCGCTTGGCAAGATGTAGCCTGGCGCCTCAGGAACACAGGGAAACAGGCAGCCCTTAGGTCTCATAGGCCAATGCCAAAGAGAGAGATGAAGCCAGCTCTTGAAGAGAAGGGGCATGGGAGGTGGGCAGACCTGCCTTCTGATGTGGTGGATAAGAACGAGAGAATGCCATTTGAAAATTCTGAGCAGTCAGCTTTGGACGCCGTGGAAGGGGTCCCTCTAGCCGGGTGTTCTCAGCTGCTGGCTCAGATTCATTCTGGCTAGTTGTAGTGGAGCCCAAAAAATGTATTAAAAGTGCTGAGTAGCTCACAAAGTCCCCAGGATGCAAAACCAGGCTGGGTGGTTTCTGAGAGGAGCCCAAAGTGACTTCCAGAGTGGAAACACAGAGGCCACATGGCACTGGGCACAGCCACCATGATGTGCCTGCAGCTGGAGGACTTGTGCTGTGCCATGGATGAGATTGTGTCCCCCAAACTCACACGTGGAAGCTCTGACCCTCGAGGTCGCTTATTCGGAGACAGGGCTTTGAGGAGGGAATTAAGGGTAAATGAAGTCGTAAGGGTGGGGCTGCCATCTGATAGGACTTCGGCCTTACAGGAGAAGGGAGAGATCTAACCCCTCCACCCACCGCCATGGGAAGGTGGCCGTCTGCAAGCTGGGAAGAGAGTCCTCACCAGAAGCCAACTGTGCCGGCACCCTGACCTTGGGCTTTCCAGCCCCCAGAACCATCAGAAAATCAACTTCAGTTATGCAGGCCACCCCATGTGTGTTCTGTTCTGCCAGCCCAAGTTGGCTAAGACAGTGCCTACCCTGGAAGCCAGGACCTCCTGCCTGGCAGCTGCTTCCATGCAGCAGAAGCTGAGTCTGGCCCAGGACCACCCTTACATCGGAGCCCCTCCCCCCAACTCCCAAGCCCAGGCATAGTGAAGGTGTAAAAAGACAGTGCATGGGCAAAAAGAATGACAAGCTCCCACCCACACAGGGACAGTGAATTTGAGGCAGGTCCCCAGCAAGGTCAAAGCCAGCTACTGAGAGACCTTTCCCATGAGGGGATGCTTCCCTGGTGGGCTACCAAGGCTCAGGATGGCTCATCAGCTTTATAGGCTCCAAAACCCCACTCTTTCAGCACACCAGGACCAGATTTATTACCTGGTTCACAGGAACTTAGCCAGATCCCGTTTTTTCATCCCAGTTGGCACGGATAGTGGGCAAATATGTGGGTGGGTGTGGCTACCCACACATGCCAAGGCCTCCCCACCTTGTTGGCAGGGCCACAGGGAGCCAGACTAGAGCTGCTGAGTGGTCACGGTACCAGCAGAGGGTCTGGGGCCGGGCAGCCCTTCTCTTGAAGGCCGGCTGCAGCCTCCTGTTTTGTGCCCTTGGGTTACCACCCTGCTACCATTCTCTTCACCTGGAGTTTCTCCAAAAAGTTCCTGCATATGAAATTCAAGTCAAATATTATTCCTGCCTTCCTGCAGATGACCTCATCACCCTGAGTGCAGGTACAGGTGTTCCCAGTTCCTTAACCATGTCATCACAGGCTCTGGGGTAACTCTTGTCAATGACTGATGGCATCCACTTTTTATGCGATTGTACAGCCTTAATGAAGGCAATCTCTTTCCTTCTTTTTTTTTTTTTTTTGACATGGGGTCTTGCTCTGTCTCCAGGCTGGAGTGCAATGGCATGATCTCAGCTCACTGCAACCTCCCGGGCTCAAGCAATTCTCCCACCTCAGCCTCCCTAGTAGCTGGGATTACAGGCATGCACCACCATGCCCAGCTAATTTTTGTATTTTCAATAGACAGAGGGTTTTACCATGTTGGCCAGGCGGGTCTCATACTCCTGACCTCAGGTGATCTACCCGCCTTGGCCTCCCAAAGTGCTGAGATTACAGGTGTGAGCCACCACGCCTGGCCACCTCTTTCCTTCTTTTGTTGCCTGTAATTCTTGCGGGTCAAGTCGCCTCTGCTCCCCTTCCTGCCAGCACTCATTTCCCTAAAATGCTCTGAAAGCTGAAGGTGCAGGGTGTGTGCCCATCTCTGCTCCACGCGGGCTTGGGCTGGAGCAGCTGTGCGGTCAGGGCTGTATGCTGTCTGCAGCCCTGCCTTTCACACACTGTTTCCTTAGAGGAATTCAGAGCACTGACTGATAATTTCACTGGTCCCTGTTCTTTGCAGAATGAATTTATATGCAGTCCCATTCTTAGGTTGATTGTGTCCAAGCCTCGGTTTCCACAACTACAGAATGGGGAAACAATGCATTTTCTTCCTAAGGGATTAGTATGCACCTGTTAAGTGCAACGCTGGGTGGAGTTCTGTGCCTGTCGAGCATGGGAGCAAGTTTGTACCTGGCCAGCTGCCCTGTGAGCCTGGAGTGGTGAGGCCAGGACTTGAGGATCCACGCCCTGCCTGGAGAAGGTGGGCTTGCTCTGCTGTGAGTCCACACACGATCCCCTGTACAGCTACTGCTTCTTTAACAGATGCCCGGGGTCTCAAAGCGGTCCTGAATACAAAGCATTCTCACCTGACGGAGGTCTCTATCCATTCACTTGGCAAACATCTGCCATTATGACATGTCATGTCATAATCAACACTTTCACACCCAGCCTCCTCTAATCTCTGGGTTTTCTTAAAGGCCAAGGGCACCTCAGGTTCAGCACCGCATCTGACCCACGGGGGCTGACACCAGCCTGTGAGCTTCCTGATATGTGTATAGTTGTAAATGTTTAAACTTATTAAAATTGTATTAAGCAAATCCCCAGCGCAAATCAAAGAGAAAGAGCACAGTGACCCCCTGCGTGTCCTCTGCTCATCCCCAAGGCCAATTGTGCTCCATCCCTGCACACATCCACCTCCCCTGCCCCTTGGATTATTTTAAAGCAGATCCAAGACATATCATTTCATCTATAAATATAAAAATGCCTCTTGAAAATCCTTCCTGGAATCCTAAGACACCGTGACATAGGACTGCCACCCTGTGAGCAAGGAGAGTAGAGGAGTCCCAGACTCCTCCCTGCCCGGCCTTGTCACCTGCCATTGCCTTGTCGCCTTGAGCACCTGTTTTCTGTGGTCTGGCTTTCCTGTTCTTTGCCTCCCTGGCATGATCTTTTATTCTTCAGCCTTCTCCCTAGCTTTCTCTTCTTCCCCTCCATCCTCCTCCCTTTCTAGATCACAACTCCAGTTGGTAGTTTTTTTTTATTATTACAAAAAATAAAACCAAAACCCTATAATTCTCTCTCTTTTTTTTTGGAGAGAAGGAAAGAAAAAAAAGGAGTGAAGGAGAGGAAGAAAGAGGAAGAAAAAGAGGGAGAGAGAACAGAAATGTTGCTTTATTCTAAAAAATGGGTATTAATAATGGCCAATCAATGTTTCATTTAAGCTTATGGGTAGGTGTGATGTGGTATTGACAAGAATGTATATTTTGTGTCTTTGAAGTGGAGAGCTCTATAAATATTTATTAAGTTTACTTGTTCCGGATCTGAGTTCGAGTCCTGGATATCCTTATTAATTTTCTGTCTCATTGAGTCTAAGTCTCTATGTATCTGGGTGTTAGGATCGTTAGCTCTTATTGTTGCATTGATCCTTTTACAACTATATCTTTGTTGCTTTAAAATCTATTTTATCAGATGCGAGAATTGCAACTCCTGCTTTTTATTTATTTATTTATTTTTGCTCTCCATTTGGTTGGTATCCAATTTGTATTTTGAAAAAATTTGCTTTTGGCCAGGCGTGGTAGCTCACGCTTATAATCTCAGCACTTTGGGAGGCCGAGGCAGATGGATTACCTGAGGTCAAGAGTATGAGACCAGCCTGACCAATATGGTGAAACCCTGTCTCTATTAAAAATACAAAAAAAATTAGCTGGACGTGGTGGCAGGCACCTGTAGTCCCAGCTACTCAGGAGGCTGAGACAGGAGAATTGCTTGAACCCAGGAAGCAGAGGCTGCAGTGAGCTGAGGTTGTGCCACTGCACTCCAGCCTGGGCAACATACTAGAACTCCATCTCAAAAAAAAATTGCGTTTAGGCTGGATACGGTGGCTCATACCTATAATCCCAGCACTTTGGGAGGCTGAGGTGGGTGACTTACCTGGGGTCAGGAGTTTGAGGCCAGCCTGGCCAACATGACAAAACCCATGTCTCTACTAAAAATACGAAAATTAGTGAGGCGTGGTGGCATGTGCCTGTAATCCCAGCTACTCAGGAGGCTGAGGCAGGAGAATTGCTTGAACCCAGGAGGCAGAGGTTGCAGTGAGCTGAGACAGTGCCACTGCACTGCAGCCTTGGGCGACAAGAGTGAAACTTTGTTTCAAAAAAAAAAAATTGCTTTTAATTGGGTAGAATTTAACATCACTTATTCTTATTTGTTTATTTATTTTTTTGAAATGGAGTCTCACTTTGTCACCCAGGCTGTAGTGCGGTGGCACGATCTTGGCTCACTGCAAACTCTGCCTCCTGGGTTCAAGCGATTCTCCTGCCTCAGCCTCCCAAGTAGCCGGAATTACAGGTGCACACCACCACACATGGCTGATTTTTGTACTTTTAGCAGAGATTGGGTTTCACCATGTTGGCCAGGGTGGTCTCGAACTCCTGACCTCAGGTGAATCCACCTGCCTCGGCCTCCCAAAGTGCTGGGATAACAGCCGTTAGCCTGTAATCCTGCTACTGAGCCTGGCCCACTTACTCTTTATTTTAGAAGTGGATGTTTAACAATTTATTTCCCATTTCCTCGTAATGAAAGTAAACTTGCTTTTTACTCATGTGATCCCTAGAGTAGCTTTTTTCTCTGTTGGCCAACAGCCCTAAACAGATACATGAAGGGCAACGGCCACCAGGGAGAGATGGCAGGGCACGTGCATCGGAGGGTGGCTCTCCTGGAAGCCCTGCCACCTCTCCACTGTGGCACACACTTTCCTCAAGGCTTAGAAGTCAAACATAAGTTAGGTCGGTAATTGCATAGGGTGTTGAGTGAGCGCCGACTCCGTGCCGGGCGCTCTTTCCATGAGATCTTGTTTATTCCCATGACAACCCTGTAAAGCCCATATGCCAGTGGAGACACCTGTTCAGCTACCCAGCTAGTAAGTGGGAGGCCAGGACCCCAGCCTGAGTTATCTAACCGCTATCGTGACCACCCCCATGCCACTTGACTGTGTGAGAATCCTTTGGGGGAATGTGCCAGTTCTTGGACCTGAACTCCCAAATTGTGACATGTTTGATCTGGGGCGGGATCCAGAATTTGCATTTTTCATAAGGCTCGTAAGTGATTTTGATGCGTGTGTCATGGTAGTTACACTTAAACCTGGGGCCAGGCGCTGTGGCTCATGCCTGGAATCCCAGCACTTTGGGAGGCCGAGGTGGGAAAATCACTTCAGGCCAGAAATTCAAGGCCAGCCTGGGCCACATAGACCCCTTCTCTACAAAAAATTTAAAATTAACTGTGTAGTGGCATGTACGTGTCGTCGGAGCTACTCAGGAAGCTGAGGCAGGAGGTTCACGCAGGGCTCCGGGGGTTGTAGTGAGCTGTGATCGCACCACTGCACTCCAGCCTGGGCAGCAGAGCGAGACTTTGTCTCAAAAAACAAAAAAAATGTTAAAGCAAAAAGAAACACTGTCCTCATGAGTTAATAGTTGTTGAAATGGCATGCTAGAAAAACGGAGTTCATTATTCTGTTCTGTCTACTTTTATATATGTGTTTAAGTGTTTCCATATTGAAAAAGTAAAAAAAGAAAATAGTGCATTACATATATGTGTGAGCTGTGGTACCACATCCTTTTTAAAAACTGCTGATTCACAGGCTGGCTTGCAAGTTGGGGTGTTCCTACAACATCAGAATTAAACAAGAGTCTGCTTTTGTTGGGGGGAAGGTGTCAGAGTGAAAGAAAAGTCCATGATTCTTGCCATTACCAGAAGACCGTGTGAGGGAATTCGATCTGCAAACTGCATGTCCGTTTTGTAAGACGTCAGGCTCGGAATTCCTTCTTCTGGGACCCCTGTCCTTCTGTGGGTTCTGGCCTTGCGTCTCCCTTCTCAGAGTTCACCGTTTCCCATCACTCAGCCTTGATTTGACGGTGCCATACCCGAAAAGTGGTAAACTGCTTCAGCTCCAGGCAAGGGCCATCCACTGGGCATTTGCAGGGAAGCAGACAGAATGCCCCAAACCGGCTCATGCCCCTCTGCTCTTGGCACATTCCGAGCACACAGGACTCTCCATGACAATCCTGTCTTTGCTTTGCATGCTGGGAAAGTGCTGAAAATATCCTGCACCCATATGAGTGATGGAAAACGGAGTGAATTTTCATGGCTGGAGCACGTTCCCCTCTGAAGCATCAGGCTTGCGTTCATCTCCACGAGGCCTCAGAACCTCTCCCAGGAAAGGGAGAAGGAGGTAGGAGAGGAGCGTGGTGCGTTCCACGCCCTCCCTCAGCACAGGTGGCCCTGGGTAGCTTACCGGCAGCGTAGGGCACGCACGTTTTGGTTACTCTGCGTGCACACCCTTTTGTGGTAACAGGAGCCTGACTGTGCCTGGGTCCCTCCCTCCTGCAGCCAGGAGCTGGTGTCCTAGGTCAGGCCAGCGGCACCTCCCATCCCTAGGCTTGGCTGTGGTCAGGTGTTAGCTCAGCAGGGCCAAGAAGAGCAGGTTTGTTTTGTTGCATCAGTGGAGGAAGCGGACTTTCCCTTTCCCAATGGGCT